CATATTAAAAATTTTTTACTTCAGATCTCTCTCTCTCTCTCTCTCTCTCTGTCCCCCGCTTTCCCCCCCCTCCTCTCTCTCCTTTTTCATTTCACGTACATATCCCTTTTTTCCATGCCGACACATGCTGCGAAAAACATTGACATAGCGTGCCTGTTTAGCGCGCCTGTTTAATCCGGCGCCCCGTCCATATTCGCCTTCCTATTATCCGGCGTTTATGTAGGTCGTCGTTCTAATTCGATGCGAATGCGTCGTCATAATCCTCCTTCGTCTTCGGTGTCGACGGCGCGGGAGACGAATGGAGCAACAGCTGTCGCCGTATTGTTTCCTCCTCGCGAAACCCGCAACCGATTGGATCCCATATTCGCGCTTATTGCGTTTGCGACTTTGACCATGAAAATCTTAAAAAAAGAAACCTAAAGTCAGAATGAACGAAATAGAACACAAATATAAATGTTGTCTAATTGTTTGAATATATAAGTATTACAAATAGATACGACAGCTATTTTCTTTATACAAGATTTACGAAAATTTATTTCATGATCTGTTTCATCAGGGACGTAATTAATGCCGCTGTAAAGAATTGCGCGATTTTTTTTAATTAAACTTTGGCTCTTTTATTTGAGCTTGTGAAATTACAATTGCGAGAATTTGAGAATTAGACGTCGAAACGTGTTTAACATTTGAAAAGTAATCGAATGTTACATTAAAGCAGAACATGATACGTGTAACGACATCTAAGAATGCAGAAATGATGTCGATGTGGTACTTTCAAATAACATTAAATCGTAAAGTTAAAAAGTTTGAAATTTCCTTGACGAGTGATGTCCGAGAGATGAGAAAAGTCTCCGAAAGTGTGGTTTAATCAAGCCCGCGCGATCTAGGTCATGATCCCCATACATCACTCGGAGATCGTCCCGGTTCACTTTAGGACCGTAGGATTTTGATCCAGGAGTGAATTCGTGCGAAAAAATGAGAATGCGTAAAAATGGCGCGTAAATGTGCATTCTCGTCGGGTCCGTGCAATCGCGATGCGTTATCGCGAGCGATCGATATAACTATATATCCCGATGACTGATGAAATCTTGATTTATGGCCAGTGCCATAGCGCGAAATATTCTTATTCGCGATATTATTTGCGTTATTACATCGCGTTATTACTGCGCGAGCCGAAAGCGTCCGGCAGCGATCGCAGCGGAAAGGGGCGAGGGAAAATTAACTACCGATGATTTTCGCCCTGTTTCAGGAGCGGGAGAGTCCGGCAAAAGCACGATCGTCAAACAGATGAGAATACTGCACGTCAATGGTTTCAGCGAAGCGTAAGTTTTATTTTTAAAAATGGCAAACGCGTGCGCCGATCGGTCGGCCGCGTCGCGTCTCGTCTCGTCGCTCGTCGCGTCTCGTCGCGTCTCGTCGCGTCTCGTCGCGTCTCGTCGCGTCTCATCGATTGCCCGTTCGCTTACTCGGCCTGATCCGTTCCAATCCGGCAATGTGTCGTTAACCCATTAAAGGAGGGCCATAATCTCTCCTTTGTTTCCGCAGGATTTTTCATCGCGAGGCTCGCATTACAATTAAACGTCAGCGGAATGCGATCGTACTCACGCAGGCCGTTTACGAAACGCGAGGCCATCGCGCGCGCGCGAATACGTTCATTGAATTTTTGTACTCGACGTCTCTCTCGCTATAAGAGAGACGTTTTATCGAGGCGAGCCTCGAGACGGTTTCTGAGAGGCGAATCGCAAAATATGGCTTGTGCTCGAGACACATCGTGTTGACGCTATTTCTACAGTCCCTCTATTTGTGGCGACGCGTTAATCTTGCTTCTCGGAATTCTTGTTCCGACTTAAATCTCGAATCTCAAGAATCGTCTGCGATAAGTTAAATTGCAGATTGTGTGATGCGATTAATTTTTTTAGCGCGCTCTATGAATGATTCATTTCGTAACCGATTCAGGCCGCTGTGTCAACACGGTATCAACACGTGGCTGATATACATTCGTTTATATTCTACTTCCTTTATCATTTTCCGAATATGTGACGCACTCATCGCGTCTCTTTATTTCCGTTGTTATCTTCATTTTTCTCGATATTTATTTATCTTTTCAAAATGCACTCAACATTTTCTTCTCTTTTCAACGTTTAAATTTTTTTATCATTTAGTCGCATTCCGAGTGATTTCTCGACCTTCCTCGATACGATTATCTCTTTTTTTTTTCTTTTTTTCATTTTTATGTGCGTCCGCATTTATTCCGTTTTTCTAGACTGCTAATTTACGATATCTCATGGTTACGGTCGGATGTTTTATTTCACTTGGTTTCCGCAATCTTCCGCTAATCTGTGGTAGAACGTAAATCTTTCGTCTTTTCAAGGAGCTTTGCTCGTACAATTCAGCATCTCGTATATTTTTGCATGGATGTCGGCAGTACATATTCTTTTCAATTTTTACGCTTGCGATAGAATACATATTAACGGAATTCCATTAAAATGAAATTTATCTGCGAGCTTTTCGTGCTGTACGAATAAAGAGAAAAATAATATATTTGTATTCACTGAGTAAGACGCTATTAAAACTTTCTACTATATAGGTAGAGAATTAGAGGCAACTGAATACGCGATATTATGTAAATAAACGGCTTAGCTTTCGCGTGTCGTAAATTCTGTCCGCTTTAAACGCTTTAAACGAAATGGAAAAAGTCATCTCTCATCTCTACATTTTGCGATAATTTTTTTTCCAATCCATATCCGATGTGTATTTTTTTTTTTTTTTTCACTTTGCGACGCGTCGCGATGAGTTTTTAATTTCTTGGATATCGAATCCCATAGTTTCTTTGAACATCTCGAACAAGAAGAAGGTTCACTTTTTCGGTCGGAATCTTTGAAAATAGACAGTAGAGATTATTACCAGAAATACAGATTATTGATCGGTCGTGAGTTCTCCAGCGAGTTCTTTTAAACGCGTGGTAGTTGGCCGCGCTAAAATTATCGAATTGGTCTGAAAATATCGATAAAAGAACACACGGTCTGCGCTATCGTTCCATTCAGCACGTGACTCGGTCATTATTGCCGGTTGACTGCTCGATCTACTCTTACGTTACTACGTCTGTACAATACGCATTGTTAGTCGTAATACTGTTAGTCACATTTAATTACGCGATCGACAACGAATTGGCGCCGGGTTTCTAACACCAATCTATCCTTGTGTCCGCAGAGAAAAGCGACAGAAGATCGAAGATATTAAGAAGAATATTAGGGACGCCATTTTGGTAAGTGTATATCAAACATTTATTTTTATAATTTATTATTAACATTTATTTTTGTTTGTTTAAAGTTTAATGTTACACGAGAAATAAAATGGAAAGAGAAAGAGAATGGTTGCGTAATTTGACGAGGGAATCTAGTCGGAAATTATGCACCAAGTATCTTTTCTTTTACCTTGTATTCTTTTTTTTTTTTTTTTTCTTCATAATGATACAGTTATCCGACGGATAACTCGAATTCTCGTCAACGTTGCATCACCAATTCCGCATTTGTTTTCGAACCCAGTTGCATTTAGACGTATAAATCATTGCGCTCGAAATAACATGCGACATAACCGTTACGTGACACGCAAATTTGCGATATCAAATCTAGCTGCAAGAGCATTGTCACCGATTTGTCATTCGGGCTCGTGTTCAGCTGCGCGCGCGATTCTGTTTTGCCCCCCCAGGCAAAATATGCAATCACTTCCGTACACCTCGTTGACGCAAATGACGCTACCTTCAATGATTTCTTGCATACGGAATTCTTGCGAAGTAATTAACAACATGATAACGATTACGGCGAACCAGTAGTTATAACAAAAAATAAAGGCGATTAGATAGCTAAGAATATATTACACATGTAATTTTTTTAAAGAATATTTATATCTCATCAAGATCGATCGATAATTCTCGTTTATGTGATACATAATTGCCGGATCAATAACGTTCGTATAAACAGATATATGTGTATGTGTGTGTGTGTGTGTGTGTGTGTGTGTGTGTGTGTGTGTATATATATATATATAATTAAATATAACAACCGAAAGCCTATATAATTACATTGTAAGGATAATATGAGGATATGTGATATTGATAAATGGCAAGATATTATTTTTATTATTTTTTTACAATAGATTATATTAATAATTATATTGAAACATTATTATATGGAAACGTTATTAAATCTTAAAATTGTCCTTGGTTATAACGCGCGTTTATATCTACCGAAAAGATTTCTTTGAGGAATTAAACCGGCATTTACTTTAGTCTGGCACGACGAATGATAAAAAGACACGTTGTTTCTTTTGCAGACGATAACCAGTGCGATGACTACGTTAACACCGCCCGTTACGCTGGAAGATCCGTCGAACCAGAGTAAAGTGGATTACATCCTGGAAGTTTCATCTTCTCCAGACTTCGATTATCCTCCGGTGAGTCAGCCGTAGCATATTTGTGTTATATGTCGCGTTGTATTTCCCCGTTGCGCGAAATAAAACTTGGGCTTCACCTTGGTGCTAATTCATCGACCTTTGCCACCGCCGACCAACATTATAAGGATTCCCCGGGCTGATCTTTAACGTTGCACTATGTAGAATTCGAATTTCTGAACACAATTAAATTCCATCACATTTCTAATTTCATCGAGACGGAAAAATGAATGCGATATAATTAATGCAAACTTTTCCCTTCGTGAGTTTCTCCCACGCGATATTTCTCCCGTGTTGAAATGCACTATGTGCATTTTTTTATTTCGTTCATCTTATTTTACAATTTTGATTGCGAAGCTGCAGTCGTCAATAAAATACGCAACTACGTTACATCGCTCGTTACATTCCTGTGTGTTAATTTTAGCGAAATTACGATTTGTGTTGATTGCCTCGAATAGTATCACTCGACATATTCGCATGCATTCGCTTCTCAATTACGGAATCTCGTCACGTTTAAGAATCTGTAAACACGTTACAAAGCCTCACGCAATTACCATATCATTCTGATGACAATTGTAATTATATCGACGATCAGTAATGATACAATTGGAATCGATTATTTTTATAGAGTTAACGTATAAACGCATTAAGATAGAAAAAAATAGTCAGTTATTTAATAAATTTTTTCCTTTCGTTCTCGATCGTTTTATCGCACGTTTTGTGCATCGCAAAACTCATCTCCGAATTATTCGAATCGAATTCTCGTTCGTGTTTCGATGATTTAGCGTACACAGACTGCGTGTAACGGTGACATGCGTGACATAATGGGTAACTACAACTGGAAAATTTACTTAATGTTCATCGCGACATTTCTTTGTGTCTAAAGCCGGCGAACGCACATCTGTGGATTAACGTAATGCGACACGCAGCAGATATATATACGTACGTACATACACACGTAGATTCTTCACGTGAGAACCACTGCGTGGCATGATCAGTGTTTACAATGTTGACACAGCTACCGCACATGTTAGTGCGCTATACAGTGTTCTGTACAACGACGTGCTGCGCCATTTCTCATGTATGTACGTACATACACACAGTATCTCTCAATTGTATCACTCGCAAATTCATGCGATCATTATACTCGTATGTAACGGGAATTTACATCGATCGATGCGAATTCTCTGTCCCCGTAGGAGATTTTCCCTGTCGAGAATCTCGATAAGAGATCCACCCCGCTAGCGCCGGTGAAAAGTCAATTCATATATATCGAATGGACACGCCAAGAAAATTTTACGGTCGTTTTTCAATTAAGTTAATTAATTAAGCGGTTAAATCGCGTACTCGTATAGTCAAATCTGTATTTAAATACACGTTATTAAGGGTGATTTAATTTATGCGGTGCTCGCGCTGTCTCGAGATTTCCGATTGAAGCGCTCAAAGGATTAACTCGCGAGATGTAGCATTCGTGGGATAGATAAAAAGAGAAAAAGCACGAGAACGGGGATTCGTAACGCGCGACACAGCTCTCGAAATAAAGTCGTCGCGACGAAATAATCCGCGCGTTTTGCGTCATTCAGTGCGAGCGACGACGTAACGCGCGGTACGGTGCGTCACCTTTGCCAGCGGATGAACGAAAGAACGGCTCATTATTTGTTACACGTGATTGTATTCGCCGTCGGTCGATCCTGATTAATTAAATTAGATCGTTTGCGTTACACCAAACGCAACTCGATTCTCATTTCTGATGAGCGCGATTTTTATTTATATGATTATCCTCAAGACATATTTGTATCGCTAGAGTGAGACCGTTCGATGGTTTGGCGTTAAAAAAAATCCGATTGATAACGAACTATGTATGATAAAATCCATTTCAAAGCTTGAGAGAATTAATTTTTATATTAATAAAATTTAATTAAAATGTAATTAATTTTTTTTTTTTTTTTTTAAGTTAAATTATGCTAATGCTTCATTGTAATTCTTCAGTTATATCAAGAATTTATTATCCAGGGAAAAAAACGAACGAAACTCTGTGTTTTACACAGAGATGTTTTTGTTCTTTATTGCATTAAAAGAATAAATATTGCATTTGGCATATCAGCAGCGTTATTTTCGCGACTGTAAGACACAAAGTGATATCCCGATTGCTTCTCGCGAATTCTGTCGACGTCTTCTACGATTCGTGTTTAATTTGTCACTGTCATTCGGCTCACCACATATGCAAGAGATGAGAGAGAAGACGCGGGGGTGTTTGCGGAAATTTATTTTAGGAAAATCCTAGGCCTAATTTCAGCGCAGACTCGAAACATATCGGCAACGATGCGGTTTTTTATTTGCGAACACAAACAATCACACGTACAATCAACACGTATTAACTTGCAAATTATTCGTGAATGTAAAAAAAAATTGTAAAAATAACGTCAAAAATTGAAATTGTGAGCTAGGGAATACTGATAGTCGAGATATCGATTAAACGTAAAATAATCCACTTTGAAATAATTTTACTTGGATATTTTTAGAAGGAAGCAAACGAATGAATTAGTACAACTGGATTATTTCGGCAGATTGTACCATGGTAAAATGTCGGATGCAAAAGCACGCGATATGATAAATACTAAAATTACATAA